GAGAGAGAGAGAGAAAGAGAAGACAACTCCCATGCAGTTGTGGTAGGGGAACCCCCAGAGTGGGAAATCCAACTTCATTTATTTTTAAATGCATAGTAAGTACCTCTGAACCCACCATCCAACCTAAGAACTAGCTAAGAACTATGAAGAATTCCCATTTACAATATATATATAGTATACATATATGTATTATATATATATTTTATATATATATAATGTTTCATATATATTATATATGTATATATATAAAACATTATATATATATATAACATTTTCTTTATTCATTCATTCATCGGTGGACATCTGGGTTGTTTTCAAATCTTGGCTACTGTGAACAATGCTGCAATGGATATGGTGATACAGATATCTTTTTAGATACTGATTTCATTGAATATATATCCAGAAGTGGGATTGCTGGGTTATCTGGTAGTTCTATTTATAAGTTCTTTTTTAAAATTATTTTTTGAGATGGAGTCTTGTGTTGTCATCCATCCAGGCTGGAGTGCAGTGGTGTAATCTCGGCTCACTGCAATCTCTCCCTCTGGAGTTCAAGCTATTCTCCATCCTCAGCCTTTCAAGTAGCTGGGATTACAAGCATGCATCACCACATTCAGCTAATTTTTGTATTTTTAGTAGAGACGGGGTTTCACCATGTTGGCCAGGCTGGTCTCGAACTCCTGACCTCAGGTGATCCGCCCACCTCGGCCTCTCAAAGTGCTGGTATTACAGGTGTGAGCCACTGTGCCCAGCCATATTTGTAAGTTCTTTGAAAACCTCCAAAATGTTTTTCATAACAGCTGAAGATTCCCTTTTCTCCACACCCTTACCAACAATTGTTGTCTCTTGTCTTTAATGATAGCCATCCTAGCAGTTGTGAGTTGAAATCTCATTGTGGCTTTGGTTTGCATTATCCTGATGATTAGCGATAATGAGAAATTTTTCACATACCTGTCAGCCATTTGTACGTCTTTCTTTGAGAAATGTCTATTCAGATCTTTTGTCCTTTTTAAATCAGATTATTTATTTATTTTTGCTATTGAATTGTGTGAGTTCTTTCTCTCCTTTATTTCCATATATATATTTATGGTTAGTGCTTAGTTTTGTTCCATATATATATATATATATATATATATATATACACGCACACACACACGCACACACACACACACACATACACACATATATGTGAGACACGGTCTCACTCTGTCACTCAGGTTGGAGTGTAATGGCACAATCATAACTCACTGTATCCTTGAACTCCTAGGTTTAAGTGATTCGCTCACCTCAACCTCTCAAGCAGCTAGCACTATGGGCCTGTGCCACCACACCAGGCTAAATTTTAATTTTTTTTTATTTGTATGTTGAGGGTGGCGGCTCACACCTGTAATCCCAGCACTTTGCGAGGCTCAGGTGGGCAGATTGCTTGAGCTCAGGAGTTTGAGACAAGCCTTAGCAACAAAGCAATACCTCGTCTCTACTAAAACATACAAAAAACAAAATTTAGTGGGGTGTGATGGTGCGTGCCTATAATCCCAGCTACTTGGGAGGCTGAGGCATGAGCATCACTTGAACCCAGGAGGGAGAGGTTGCCATGAGCTGAGATCATGCTGCTGAACTCAAGCCTGGGTGACAGAGCAAGACTCTGTCTTAAAAAAAAAATTATTTGTATAGATGGGGTCTCACTATGTCACTCAGGCTGGTCTCAAACTCCTGGCCCCAAGCAATCTTCCTGCCTTGGCCTCCAAAAGTGATGGGATTAAAGGCATGAGCCACTGCACCTAGCCCCTTATATGCTTTGAACTTATCAGAGATATAGTTTGCAAATATTTTCTCCCATTCTGAAGGTTGTCTTTTTATTTTATTAGTTGTTTTGTTTTGTTGATGTTTTCTTTGCTGTGCAGAAGCTTTATAGTTTGATGTAGTCCCACCCATTTATTTTGCTTTTGTTGTTTATGATTTTGGTGTTATATAAAAAAATCATTGTCAAGACCAATGTAGTGGTGGTAAGAGTGTATAACCACAGCCACTTTTCTTGCTGTCTGGTGAGACCGGGGCTGGTAGTATCAGTACAGCTTTAGAGCACTGACCCAACCACACAATTCCGGATTCAAATCCCAGCTCTTCCACTTACAAGATGTGAAATCTTGGGAGGATATTTCACCAATTTGAGTGTTGGTTTCCTTCTATGATAAATAAGGGTAGGGATATGTTTATCTCATAAAACCACTGTAAGAATTAAATGAGAGGACACATGTAAAGGACCTAGCTGAGTGTCCAGCATACATAGTTGCCTTGGGTAAGGAGAGCTGGGACTATCCTTAGGGCCTTTAACCCAGGTTGGCTCTCCCCACCACTTCCATTACCATTTGCAAGTGTGGTCATGGTGTGGTAAAGAGCACCCTTGATATATATGTTTATATGCCTATATACCTTTTATATACCTATACACTTATATATGCCTGTTGATATCTGTGTCATCTATATTCAGTGTTTGGGTAGAAGAAATAAGGTGTTAGTGACTGAGATATTGCAGGATAGAATGTCAGAGCATGGTTGCAGCTACTGTTGGGAGTAATTCATATGCATTCCTTTCAGGTTTTGCTGAGGCCTATTGTTTATCTTTTGTTCTTTATTAAAGCTTCTGAACCATACTCACTTTTACAGCAAGGATGGCCTTTTCAACTGCCATTGAGGCTTCCAGACTGATTATTTCTCACTTTCTCAGTATTATTCTGGCACTGTTCACTTGTCTTTTATGGAGTACATGTAATGTTTTGATACAAGCATACAATGTGTAATGTTTAAATCAGGGTAAACAGAGTACCTATCACCTCAAGCATTTATCTCTTTCGTGTTAAAAATATTCCAGTTCCACTCCTTTAGTTATTTTGAAACGTAGAGTAAATTATTGTTAACTATAGTTGTCCTATTGTGCTACTAAACACTAGATCTCATTTAACTGTAATTTTGTACCCATTACCCATCCTGTTTTTATACACCGTTCCTACTACCTTTCCCATTATCTAGTAATCATCATTCTACTGTCTGTCGCCATGAGTTCAATACATTTTTTAGCTCCCACATGTGAATGAGCATATGTGATATTTGTCTTTCTATGCCTGGCTTGTTTTGCTTAACATAACATCTTGCAGTTCCATCCATGTTGTTGCAAATGACAGGCTCTCATTCTTTTTTTTTTTTTTTTTAATAACTGAATAATGTTCTATTGTGTATAGTACCACATTTTCTTTATCCATTCACCTTCTTTTGTCTTAACCTTTCATTTTATTTCTAGTTCTAAGGTACCTGATCAATTATTTCTCATGTTCCTATTATGAGTATTTTTTATTTTACTTTTTCATATCTTGAGAAATAGAAATCCGATTTTATAACTTAATTTATGTCTTATGCTTTTTAAAGCTGAACTGTGAACCTCTGATTTATCTGAGCATTCATTTTCCTTTCCATTGTACATGGGATTCTGTAAATTGGGGAATATATATATATATATATATATATATATATATGACATTTTTCTGGCACTGTTCACTGTTTATGTGTATATATACATATATATATTTAACTTTGATTAAAGTATATTTTTCCATGGTCATTAAAAGCAGATCTTATTAAGCCATGTAGGAAAGGATGCCCCTTACTTCTTGTTTTCAGGGTGCCACAGTAAAATTTTTGACTGCTGAAGTCATTCTTTTTTTTTAATATTTCTGATTTATTAAATTCAATCAAACTTGTTTTTTTAATCTTTCCAAATGAAATTTATATTAATGGAAAAAGTAAACCACCTAAAAGTATTTCTTTTGGGTAACAGAAGGTCACCATTAATAATTATTTCCTTTACTCTCTCCTACTTTACTGGCTACTTAAAACTTCAACTATAGTTCCTTTATTAAAAGAACTAGATCAAACAATGGACTTCGAATGAGAAATTATTTTTCACATCAATTTTACTGTATCACAAACATTTTACAGCACAAGTTTAAATAAAGCAACTTTCTACCTTATTAAAAGATTCTTCACCTCCTTAATAGAAATTGAAGGGGAAGCAATGCTATTAAGGATCATATGTAACTAGTAGTGGCAGCAGAGTTATCTATTAACATTCTTATAACATTAGTCTAGTGGCACCAACATTTTAACACAGAGCTGCAGCTGTTTGCATGTGTTCTGAAGCTAGCATAATCTTTAAGACAGCCAGGAAAAAACCCCTCAAAACCAATTACATAATATTCTCTCTAGAAAAATCTCTAGGGGAGCACATTCTTGGGTGAAAGAAAACCACCCCTTTGTCATTGTGATGCACTGAAAAAAGCTTTGGAGCCTGACAATTTGGCTCCTGGCTCTCCCACTTTTTTGGTAGGGTTCGAGTCACTGTAAAATGTGATTACGTCCCTTCTTCAAAGGATTATTTTGAGAATTTAATAAGAATGGATGGAAGGGGCCTAGTAGATAGTAAAACCTGATCAAAATATCAGTAATTTAATTATTTCCTAGAAGCCAATTGAAACATTATAACATTTATTTTCTTGGTAGACCTTATAAGTTTATTCTCAAAGGCAATTTAAAAATCTCCCTCGGGAAAGCCATGCACCTTTTTATTAATCATATTGATACTACTAACAATGTTTGGCTAATGATGTAAAAATACTTAAATCATACTAGACACACAAAAAGAGATGTTTCTCAACTTATGGTAGAATTACATCCCAATAAACCCACTGTAAATTGAAAATATCATAAATTCAAAATTCTAGCCTACCTTAAATATGCTCAGAACACTTACATTACCCTACCGTTGAGCAAAATCAACTAACACAAAGCCTATTTTATAATAAAGTGTTCTAATATAACCTATTGATGTTCTACTGAATATGTATGGCTTTGGCACTATGGAAAAGTCCTAAATTGGAGACCATACATAAATGAAAGACTAAAACTGAAAAAGAAAAATAAAATTTAATAGGTTTCTCTAAATGAGAATGTCAAATTCAGAATTATTTAACATATATAAAAGTACACATTCTAATATATGAAAAGGTATTTTATCATTATTACTTTACTACATATTAGTGAATACACCAGACAGCATTTTTTCAAATTGCAAATGAGGCACATTTCTCTTTGATTCTCCCAGGAACCTCAGCATCATCTGTCTTTTGGAGGATTCGGATTCTTACGACATCTATGATACCGTCCATAAGGATACCAGCGGTGCTTAGTAGTAAGGAACGTTTTGCTAAGTTGTTCTACCATAGGTCCTTGCTCAAGGGGTTCAACTTTTTCTTCCAATCTGTTTTTCAGGATTTGATCATGTGTTTCTTCATTATTATGCACAGGATCCGGCCCTGGGATAGGTTTTGTGTGTTCATATGGAATGTCCACAGAAGGGTGGTAGCATACTATTGTCCTGCCATCAGAAGTCAGAGCAAGCTCTACTTTGCAATTATAGTCATCTGGTAGAGGAGAATATGTAGATTTATGACAAACACAATATAAAGCTCTGTTTTGTATTGGAAATAAACATTTCAAGATAGTTTTCTTTGACATCACCCATTTTACTGCAGCTACAGCCATGGTGTTTCAAGATGCTTATCAAGTGGTATGAAAAAAGATGTTCTGAAGAGAAACTGCTTTTAAAATCTGCTTCTAGGCATACTAACTTCTACTCCTGCTTCACAGCTTCTCACCACGAGCCCGCCATCTTGTTTAAAACGCTGAAGTCATTCTTAATATTATTTGCTTGATTTTTATCTGTTGAACTTCCTAAGGAATTATCCCCTCAGGAGCCAACATACAAGTAAAAGGATCATGGGACTCTGTGGCCTTCTCAATGTCTGTCCATATGCTTTTCCAGAAGGGTTTTGTTGTTTCAAATTGTCTTCCAGATGAGAAATAAAGTCCTTCCTCACCTATATACTTTCTAGATGTATTACTAATATTTTCCTTATTGCTGCAATGCATATTAGTGGGTAATTATGTATTTTTTACAAATTTAATTTGCATCTCTTGCAGGTACATGGAATTTGTTGCTCTAAGGATATCAGTGACCAAAGAGCAGGGCTATTTTCTTGGTTTTGTAAACATTACACTCTGTTAGTGAGCATAGGAGTTTGGTTTCGATAGAAAATCATATTTGACTTCTAGATGAGATACATGCAGGTGCCCTTTCTCCCTGGGTAATAGTAAGGTACATTGAAAAGAACATGTGGGCCAGGCACAGTGGCTTATGCCTATAATCCCAACACTTCGGGAGGCCAAGGCAGGCAGATCATGAGGTCACTAGTTCGAGACCAGCTGAACCAACATGGTAAAACCCCGTGTCTACTAAAAATGTGGTAATGTGTGCCTGTAATCCCAGCGACTCAGGAGGATGAAGCAGGAGAATTGCTTGAACCCAGGAGGCAGAGGCTGCAGTGAGCTGAGATTGTGCCACTGCACTCCAGCCCGGGCGACAGAGTGAGACTTCGTCTCAAAACAACAACAACAACAACAACAACAACAACAGCAACAACAGCAGCAGCAGCAGCAACCACCACCATTGGCAATAAAAGCCAAAATAGACAAATTGGATCTAATTAAACTCCAGAGCTTCTGCACAGCAAAAGAAACAATTATTAGAGTGAACTGGCAACCAACAGAATGGGGAAACAATTTTGCAATCTACCCATCTGACAAAGGGCTAATATCCAGAATCTACAAATAACTAAAACAGATTTACAAGAAAAAAACAAACAAACCCATCCAAAAGTGGGCAAAGGATATAACAGACACTTTTCAAAAGAAGATATATATGAGTCCAACAAACATATGAAGAAATGCTTATCATCACTTGTCATTAGAGAAATGCAAATCAAAACCACATTGAGATACCATCTCATGCCAGTTGGAATGGTGATCTTTAAAAAATCTGGAGACAACAGATGCTGGAGAGGACGTGGAGAAATAGGAACACTTTTACACTGTTGGTGGGAGTGTAAATTAGTTCAACCATTGTGGAAGACAGCATGGCGATTCCTCAGGGACCTAGAAATGGAAATTCCATTTGATTCAGCAATCCCATTACTGGGTGTATACCCAAAGGATTATAAATTGTTCTGTTACAAAGACACATGCACATGTATGTTCATAGTGGCACTGTTTACAATAGCAAAGACCCGGAACCAACCCAAACGCCCATCGACAATAGAGTGGACAAGGAAAATGTGGCACATATACACTGTGGAATACCATGCAGCCATAAAAAATGATGAGTTTATGTCCTTTGTAGGGACATGGATGAATCTGGAAACCATCATTCTTAGCAAACTGACAAAAGAACAGAAAGTCAAACACCACGTGTTCCCACTCATAGGCGGTTGTTGAACAATGAGAACACAGGGACACAGGGAAGAGAGCATCACACACTAGGGTCTGTTACGGGGGGCAAGGGAGGGACAGCAGGCGGGGGTGAGGAGGTCGGGGAGGGATAACATGGGGAGAAATGCCAGATGTAGGTGACGGGTGGATGGAGGCAGCAAATGACATTGTCATATGTATTCCTATACAACAATCAGGCATGATCTGCACATGTACCCCAGAACCTAAAGTACAATAAAAAAAGAAAAGAAAAGAAACAAACAAAAAAACACTGGATTCAGAATCCAAAGCCCTGGGTAGCAGTGCTCCTGCCACCCTCATTGGCTGTGTGACCTTGGGTGACTCTTCCAACTCTCTTTACCTCAGTTGGCTCATGCTTAGAGCAGGAATACGGATCCTTGTCCTGGCTAACTCATAGAGTCAGTATGTGAGCCATGCAACACAATGCAAGTGGAAGCATCTTGATACTTATTTGTGTCACCATCACCACTGCCAGTACTACCACGACCATTATCATCTGTACAATGATAATGATTAGTACAATACCCAAGTATTGAACAGGGAGAAAGTCTCCCAAGGATATCAATAGATGATACATTGAAAGTATAACAACAATAAAAACACTCAATATTTGATGAACTCTTACTATGTGTACTAGACACTATGCGCTAGGTACCTTACATGTTTCATCTCATATAATGCTTACAACAATACTGTAAGATAAGTGCTTGTATTATCCACAATTTACAGATAAGGAAACTGAGGCACAGAGTTTTAAGCAACTTGCTTAAGTCAGAACTGAGACTGAATCCAGGCAGCCTGCCTCTAAGCCTGTACAATAATACTCCACTCTATTAGGGTTCGCCTGGGCCCCAGTAACACATAATGAGAGCTCTGCACATGTGAAGAATATCTTTACAGCTTGCAGAATATTTTCCTGTTATCTCATATAAGCCTGACATCTGACTCATTTTATAGATTGAGTAGTCAAATAGCTTCAATATCTTAGTCAAGATTATCCAGCTAGTCAGTGATAAATATTACCTAAACTCCAGTCAGTTCTCTTTCCACTGCCCGTCACTGGTTCTTCCGGTGAACTGATGGATTTTTACCAGTAATCTCACTCCTCTTACCACATTGTCCCATTTTTGCTTTCTTTAATGAGAGAGGAATACCGAAACCATAAAGTTACATTCCTAATGAAAATCTTCTAGAAAAATCAATGTCTTGTTCAATCTTTTTAGTGGCTGGTTTATCAGAGAATTCTAAATCAATATTGCTGGGAGGGGCCCTAGCCCTCTCCTGCATACAGACCACTGGGTGCTTTTGAATAATTCTGCAAGTCCCCATGTAAGAAAACTGTAACATAGCCTGTGGCTAAAAGGAATCCAACTGAATACTTCAAGGATATTAAAGACACAGTCATCTTTATTCATTTGACACATTCTTGTCGCCATGCTGTACTGATATCCACAGTGTGTTTATTTGTGAGATAGTTGACATTTGCTAAAAGATACTTGCCTAATTAGATAAAAGATACTCTGCTAATGCAAAAGCTCACACTTTACCCATGTCAGGTCTCGGCAGTGATGGTCTTTATCAAAGAATACATTCAGTGTAGTTTCTTGTTCTCCAGCTCCCTGCAAACAACCTGTAATATGTGGACTTCCCGTGCCCTCTCTTCCCTCACTCCCGTCTTACATTTGCTTACCATTCTCTGCAAGGTGGGAGTTTTCAACTACAACTTGAAATTCAAGTGGAAAAAGCAAGACCTTGGGAGCTGTGTGTCTGAGGCAAGTTAATGAAGCATCTCTAGTTGATACTTAGACAGTGAAAATTAATCAGTTATGACCTCTCTGATCCTTCAGAAGACACCCATAGGTCACTGCCTCATTAAGACTTTCAAATCACTTATCGAATTTTATTCAGGATATATCTTTACCTTTCAAAGTAGGCTGCATGAGGTAAGAGGATGTTCCTCCCCAGAGCAAAAATTGGCACCATTTTAGGTTTTTTTTTTGTTTGTTTTTTTTTGTTTTTTTTTTTTTTTTGGTGTACTTTAAAAAAATTACTTTTTATTTTAGATTCAGGGGATACCTGTGCAGTTTTGTTAAATGGGTTTATTGTGTAATGCTGAGGTTTGGGCTTTTGATGATCCCGTTGCCGAAGTAGCAAACATAGTACCTAATAGAATCAACAGGTATTTTTTCAAACCTTGTCCCTCCTTCTCCCTCCCTGCTTATGGAATTTCCAGTGTTTATTGTTCCTATCTTTGTGTCCATGTGTACCCAATGTTTAGCTCCCACTAAACATGACAACGTGTGGTATTTGGCTTTCCGTTTCTGTCTTAATTAGCTTAGGATAATAGCCTCCAGCTGCATTCATGTTGCTACAAAAGACATGATTTCATTCTTTTTATGGATGTATACTATTCAATGATGTACCACATTTTCTTTATCCAGTCTATCATTGATGGGAAGCTGGTTTGATTCCACGTCTTTGCTACTGTGAATATTTTGACTCTTTTGATTCTCTCCTTGATCTAAGTGAGTTTTCCCCATGAAAGTTCTAAGCTGTTAGTGATGGCTCAAAATGAGCTTTTAGAAACCCGAATCTGAAAACAGAAAGGGTTCACAAAGGCTTGTGCCTCGAGCTCTCTAGGAACAAGCCTGCTCAGTTTGTGGCCTCAGTCTCCTTTTTTCCTCAAATAAAAAAAAACTACTGTGGTATTAAAATGCCAAAGCTCCATTGACTCAAGAGTCACAGTTTGGAAGGACTGTTTCAGTCAGCACAGGATTATAGTGTCCAACTCTTTGCAAAGAGGAGCTCAGTAGCAGTTAGTGTTCAGGGCCTAATATTTTAAAGACTATTTCAAGAAGTGAGTTCCCAATTATCTCTGGAGATGATCAAATGGGGGTTGGATTACCACTTGGTTGGAATGCTGCCAGAGGTTTTGAATGACAGAGAGTTGAACTCACTGGCTGTTTAAAGTCTCAAACAGCCTTAAAATTCTAGGATTTCACACCTTTTGCTAATGGACGATCTATGCAGGAAAGCAAACCTGGCAAACAATTGGAGAATTTGTATGGTGAAAATAAAATAGCCTGTTTTTTTTTTTTTTTTTTTTTTTTTTTTTTTTTTTTTCAGGCTGAGTTCCCCTAATCTTACTTTTATGAAATTAAATCTGGATAATTGTAGTGGTTCAGGACTGGTCAAGACCTTAACGTCAGGGAATATCTAGGTAAGATGAAGTTCCATAAGAATGTGTTCACTAATTGAAATCTAGATATCTTGCTCACTTGTTTTTCCTATCCACTGGACAATTTCATTATCTTTGTGAGCCCTGGGT